AGTGTTGGAACAACTCCACGAGTGTTGGAACGACCCCATAAGTGTTTGAACAAACCCGTGAGTGTTGGAACAATCCAGCCAGTACCTGAGTGACCTTGCAATACAATGTTTGAGAAGTTAAATGGCTGTATTAGTCAACAATCCCTTGGAACCCCATGTACACAACTCATACCTCCAGTTCTCCCTGTCTCCGTGTTAGGTTAGGTATATTCCTATTTCTCTATCTCTTTCTCTCCGCCCATTTTGTCCATAAATATTTTCATCTAGGGTTCTTCCACTGTCTCTCTCTCTCTCTCTCTCTCTCTCTCCTCTCTCTCTCTCTCAGAGAATATTGCCACCCAGTAAATTCCTCCTAGTTCAATAATATGTCGGAATCAGTGATATATATTTTCAGGAAAATTAACTTTGCTCGTCATAACGTAGAAAATTCCTTCAAATTTTAATTTATCTATTTCGATTTTATTGTGTAAACTCTTACTGTTATATGACACCAAGATGCGTTTACCTTCCCGGCCCTGACTACAATATTATCCAGAATAATGTAAGAATACTCTCCTCTGCACAGCCTGGAATATCCTTCCCGGCCCAGCTTGGAATAATCTTTCCAGGCCCAGCCTGTAATATTCTTCCCGGCCCAACCTGGAATAATCTTCCCGGCCCAGCCTGAAATATCCTTCCCGGCCCAGTCTGGAATATCCTTTCCGGCCCCAGCCAGGAATATTCTTTCCGGTCCAGCCTGGAATATTCCTCCCGACCCAGCCTGGAATATTCCTCCCGGCCCAGCCTGGAATATTCCTCCCGGCCCAGCCTGGAATATTACCAAGATCAGTTTACAAATCTTTGTTTACTGTTGATGTCTCATGAACTTGATATCGTTTAAATTACTCTCAGATCATCAAGAACCTCGCTGAAGACTTTTCACACACTTCTAAACTTTACTCACGATATCGTAATGACACGACTGCAATCAAACCATACCACGGGTGGGGTTAAAACCAGCGATCAGACATAAAACTCCAGACCGAGGCGTCGGTCTGGAGTTTCATGACTCTCTAATCGCAGGTTCTAACCCCGCCCGTGGTATGGTTTCCTAAACTTTCTTCACCACTCCGTTTTGAAATGTAGAAATTTTGATTTTCCTCATAGCAACGTAAGTCTTGTGACACTCTGTCTATATCTGTAACTACCTATTTCCTGCCACCTATTAGTAGGTACAGGAGGAAGGTTATGTTCGTCTTGTTGTTGACCAGTGTAAAGAATATAGATGTTCATTCGTGGAGGTCGTCAGTGGAGGAGGTCGTCAGTGAAGGAGGTCGTCAGTGGAGGAGGTCGTCAGTGGAGGAGGTCGTCAGTGGAGGAGGTCGTCAGTCAGAGAGGCGTCGTGGATGGAGGTCGTCAGGAGGAGATCGCAGTGAAGGAGGTCGTCAGTGGAGGAGGTCGTCAGTGGAGGAGGTCGTCAGTGGAGGAGGTGTCATGTGGTGGAGTTCGTCAGTGGAGGTAGGTCGCAGTGGAGGAGGTGTCAGTGGAGGAGCCGTCAGTGGAGGAGGTCGTCAGTGGAGGAGATCGTCAGTGAAGGAGGTCGTCAGTGGAGGAGGTCGTCAGTGGAGGAGGTCGTCAGTGGAGGAGGTCGTCAGTAGAGGAGGTCGTCAGTGGTGAGTCGTCAGTGGAGGAGGTCGTCAGTGGAGGAGGTCGTCAGTGAAGGAGGTCGTCAGTGGTGGAGGTCGTCAGTGGAGGATGTCGTCAGTGGAGGAGGTCGTCAGTGGAGGAGGTCGTCAGTGGAGGAGGTCGTCAGTGGAGGAGGTCGTCAGTGGAGGAGGTCGTCAGTGGAGGAGGTCGTCAGTAGAGGAGGTCGTCAGTGGAAGTAATCACTAGAGGGAGGTTCTCGGAGGTCCATCTACCTCACTTCCAATTTGAACAATGTAACGAGAGTGTAGTGGGATCGATGGTTGGTCACTGTTTTTTTTTTTTACGACTTTGTGCTTCCTGGGAATAAGTGCCAAAGTTGTTTGCTGCATAATCCGTATGTGATGTTTTTTCTATCCCAGCTGGTGTTTGTAGTCCAGCCGGTGTTTGTAGACCAGCTGGTTTTTGTAGACCAGCTGTGTTTACTCTCCAGATAAGCGGATAATCTTGATTAATTTCTCGATATTCCATATTTTTTATTTGTTTAAGCAAACACCTGTATACACAAGCTGAGGAATTAGTGGTTTATCCAAACAGGTGTTGTGAGGTATACCTGTGGGAGTCCTCAGTCAGGTTCCCCTCACCTGAGTTAACAACTCTGAGGAACCCAACAAGGGATTACGTAATCCTTTTCCCCTCACCTCTCTTTTACCCCTCCCTCATTCAACCTTCTCTCCCCTCCCTGGCTCACCCCTTTCCCTGAGTCACTTACCCCTCACCCGTTTCCCCTCTACCCCCCACATGCAGTCTTTCCCCTTCTCTTATTTTTAACGTTCACGCAAATGGTTTTCTGTAATAAGAAATTAACAATTAACAATCCGTTTCCTATGTGCTTATTTCATTTTTCTTATTGGCTTATTATTAACCAATATTAACTCACTGTTAACTTGTATTGACTCGATGTTAACTGGTATCAACTCGATGTTAACTTATATTGACTCGATGTTAACTGGTATCAACTCGATGTTAACTTATAATGACTCGATGTTAACTTGTATTGACTCGATGTTAGTTGGTTTCGACTCGATGTTAACTGGTTTCGACTCGATGTTAACTGGTTTCGACTCGATGTTAACTGGTTTCGACTCGATGTTAACTGGTTTCGACTCGATGTTAACTGGTTTCGACTCGATGTTAACTGGTTTCTACTCGATGTTAACTTGTATTGACTCGATGTTAACTTGTACTGACTCGATATTAACTTGTATTGACTCGATGTTAACTTGTACTGACTCGATGTTAATTAGTATTAACACGATGCCAGCTGGCACTGGCTTTTATTTAGCATATTTGTATACACTAGTGATGATTAACAACAGTGTATACACTATTAACAATGGCACCTTCTTCTTTTCGGTCGCGAGGCCGAGACCTTCCGCTGGCTTACCGGTCTACCCCTTAAAACTACATATAAAAATGTGATGGGACGTTCTCGACCTCACACAGAAAATTTCCACAGTACCATCAGTGTGTCAGAGTGATGTTGCACTCTTGTTCTGGTAAGACTGTTTTCAGAAACCCAGAAGCACTCTTATTTTAAGTACTGTTGAGTGCACAGTCTTGAGTGCACTGTCTTGAGTGCAGAGTCTTGAGTGCAGAGTCTTGAGTGCACAGTCTTGAGTGCACAGCCTTAAGTGCACAATCTTGAGTGCAGTCTTGAGTGCAGAGTTTTGAGTGCAGAGTCTTGAGTGCACAGCCTTGAGTGCACAGTCTTGAGTGCACAATCTTGAGTGCAGAGTCTTGAGTGCACAGACTTGAGTGCACAATCTTGAGTGCACAATCTTGAGTGCAGAGTCTTGAGTGCACAGCCTTGAGTGCACAATCTTGAGTGCACAATCTTGAGTGCACAGTCTTGAGTGCACAGTCTTGAGTGCAGTCTTGAGTGCACAGATCTTGAGTGCACAATCTTGAGTGCAACAGCCTTGAGTGCACAGAGTCTTGAGTGCACAGTCTTGAGTGCACAATCTTGAGTGCAGCAGTCTTGAGTGCACAGTCTTGAGTGCACAATCTTGAGTGCAGAGTCTTGAGTGCACAGTCTTGAGTGCACAATCTTGAGTGCACAATCTTGAGTGCAGAGTCTTGAGTGCACATCTTGATGCACAATCTTGAGTGCAGAGTCTTGAGTGCACAATCTTGAGTGCACAATCTTGAGTGCAGAGTCTTGAGTGCACAGTCTTGAGTGCACAATCTTGAGTGCACAATCTTGAGTGCACAGTCTTGAGTGCACAATCTTGAGTGCACAATCTTGAGTGCAGAGTCTTGAGTGCACAGTCTTGAGTGCACAATCTTGAGTGCAGAGTCTTGAGTGCACAATCTTGAGTGCACAGTCTTGAGTGCACAGCCTTGAGTGCAGAGTCTTGAGTGCACAATCTTGAGTGCACAGTCTTGAGTGCAGAGTCTTGAGTGCACAATCTTGAGTGCACAGTCTTGAGTGCACAGTCTTGAGTGCACAATCTTGAGTGCACAACTTGAGTGCACAGAGTCTTGAGTGCACAGTCTTGAGTGCACAATCTTGAGTGCAGAGTCTTGAGTGCACAATCTTGAGTGCACAGTCTTGAGTGCACAGCCTTGAGTGCACAATCTTGAGTGCACAATCTTGAGTGCACAGTCTTGAGTGCACATCTTGAGTGCACAATCTTGAGTGCACAATCTTGAGTGCACAGTCTTGAGTGCACAATCTTGAGTGCACAATCTTGAGTGCACAATCTTGAGTGCACAATCTGATCGCATGACAGAGTCTTGAGTGCACGATCTCTAAGAAAAATACCCGAGATTTTAATATCTAAAAAAAAAAAAAAGGTAGGAAGAAAATTGGGCGCAGTTTTATGTTAGGGCATAAAATACATATACAAGGATTAAGCCGACCCAAGTGAAATTACGTGAACTACATTTTTTAATTACCTAAAAGCTTTAATAGATAGACGGGGGTTTTATCAGGGAATGAATACTACGCAACGAGTTTTTCTAAATTTATTGTTCCCATATTTTTTTCAAAATTCTTTCTTATTAGAAGAGACTAGAGACTTGTTGATGTTTTACCTTATTACAAGAACGGAAATGATTTAAATGTGATTCGTTGTATATTTTAATAGTTAGTCAAGTTTGTTGGTGTCCAACAGTGTATACATACATTGGTGTGTGTGCCAGAATGGTGTATCTGTGTGTGTGTTTGTGTGTATATATACTAAGGTGTGTGTGTGTGTGTGTGTGTGTGTGTGTGTGTCAGTGTATGATACTACCTAAGATGTTTTTCTAGTGTTTATATTGGAGTTGTTTGGTGTTCCGGCTATGTATTTGTGTTGTATACAAGAGTTTCTTTACTTATTTATATGAATACAGATTCTTGGACTTGGTGGTGCAGAGGATGGTTTATACCTGTTGATGTCAAGAACCAAACTTTTCAATGTATTCTGTGTTTAATTTTAACTCGAGTAACAAGTAACGAAGTCAGTTTAGGTGTAACACGTCCCGTAAATACATATCATTGGAAATGGTGTGCACAAAGAATCCTGTGTTGCAGCTGGAAATGTGTGATCTGGTATTTACAGGTAACGGTTGATGTCGGGTGGTGATCCCGAATTCCCAGGTAATAAAACTAAGGTTGGTGTGTAGACCTGTAACTTCAGATAACGTAAAAAGGTGTGGGGTAGAATCATGAACTCAGATATCGCTGTGTGGTATGTTTACATAATTATACTGCGCTTGGGCTTGAAAAACGTGATTGCTCGCACCTGAATTACATTCAAGACCTTCAGTACATGTATTGCATAATGTTGATTGTTAGATGTATGTAGACACAAATATGTAACTCACACCTGGTTAAACACGTCCAGAAATTAGGCAAACTTGGAGACCTGACGACGAAAGTTTTGCCAAGAAAAGCTGGAAAAATTGAACCTTACAAGTAGGGACATGATTACGACGTACAAGATACTTAGAAGACACGATAGTGCAGGCAGAAACAGATTGTAACATTGATGAAAGTTAAGGGAAATGATAGGGATATCAGGAAGCACTTTTTAAGTGATGGAAGCATGCCACTGAGACAGAGGGAACACTGCCGGGGCTACAGGTACACTGAGACACAAATAACATCACCGGGGCTACAAGTACACTGAGACAAAATAACATCACCGGGGCTACAAGCACACTGAGACACAAACAACATCACCGGGGCTACAAGCACACTGAGACACAAACAACATCACCAGGGCTACAGGTACACTGAGACACAAACAACATCACCGGGGCTACAAGGACACTGAGACACAAACAACATCACCAGGGCTACAGGTACACTGAGACACAAACAACATCACCGGGGCTACAAGCACACTGAGACACAAACAACATCACCAGGGCTACAGGTACACTGAGACACAAACAACAACACCGGGGCTACAAGTACACTGAGACACAAACAACATCACCGGGACTACAAGTACACTGAGACACGAACAACAACACCGGGGCTACAAGTACACTGAAACACAAACAACAACACCGGGGCTACAAGTACACTGAGACACAAACAACAACACCGGGGCTACAAGTACACTGAGACACAAACAACACCCTCCTAGGGAAGGGAGGGTGGAGAACAAGAACATCAAGACACAACGCTCCAAGGAACAAATCTAGACATAACGCCAGGGAGGGTAGAAGGGGTGGAGCACTAGAACACAGACAAACAACCCCCTCCACCCCTGAGAGAAGTTTACATGTAGGAAAACAGAAAAAATGTAACTGAAGTTAATATTCCTTGGTGTCCTAAAATAACCATGGAACCCCTGGCAGGTTGCCGGCGGCAGTGATTGTAAATCACTGCCGCCCCTCCTCTTGTAATCCCCACGGTGCTAGTAAGATGTAATATCACATACCCCACCTTCCTCCTCACAGTAACCCTCCCCCACCGGCCACTAATTCTTGCAAATAACGCGTACAAATACCAGGGGCAGGACCCGTACGAGTCGTGCTGTGGTCTTGTTCCACTTTCCATTAATCAGTGGAACAATGTACTTGACGCAGATGGAAGCTGTCGTGGCTGACCCCCGTTCACCCCACTTCGTCAATTATGGTGCGGGGGAGAAGGTATATGAGGGAGGGGATAAAAGGGGTGAGTAAAGGCATGTTGGGGGACAGGGAAGAAGGGGTATCATAAAGGAGAGCGAAAAGGACGGGTATGATATGAGGTTTAATGGGAGGTAGTCTAGAGACATGCAACCACCAGTGTTTTTACTATGATTCGCAAGGGCCAGCAACTAGAGGAAGGGGGTAGATGCACCTGGGGAATATTATCTGTTAATTATTCAGGAGATTATTACCCATTAACTGTGAAGTTGCTTCCATTACGCATACAAAGAGTCTGTATGCGTAAGTGCAAAAGCCTCGAGTCAGTCACGACTGCATAACAACCCAATTACAACCTCTTACAAGCCTGGTGGAAACCTAATGCTATATCTGCCCTTGCTCGTAAGTCACTTATTCTTACACCTGACTTATATAAGAATTTACAAGCTCGCCGCTCAACTAACCCACAGTTCGGTCTCTTCAAATCCATATTTGTTGTGTTAACTATGTAAGTGTGTAGATGATTAACTAGTGTGATATGCTCCATAACACATCCTTGGCCAGGAAGAGGGGGAGTACAGGACAAGATTAATGGATAAACATTGATCATGTTTCCTGAGTGCGTCAGTGCGTCCATCAACGCTAATGAGAGCAGCACCCTTGTCCTTGCTTAATGTTTACCATATTCCTCTACATTAAACTCTTGTTATTCGATCCTGTGTTGTTCTTCATATGTTCAGCCCTTGGTGTCCGATCCCGTGTACTTCTTCGTATGCTCATGTGTTGGTATCCAATCCTATGTTCTTCCTTTTATGAACGTTCAGGTCTTGGTGTTCCATCCTGTGTTGTTATTTTAAGTTTAGCAGATAATGTCCTTATCCTGTGGTCTCTTATTTCAGCGTTTGATAACATCCCATCAATTTCGTACTTCGTATTTACCTATTCAGTTCTTCGTGTGTGTCATACAGGGGCGAGATGTTGACAGGATGGGATACAAGATATATAAAGATCAAGTTTTATTGTGAGAATGTCTCGCTCTGTCTCGAATTTGGTAGATGCCATAATGGTCTCTCCAGAGCTAAACTCTAACACGATGTTTATGGAAGAATGAAAAAGCTAATTTCGTTCATAATCACGTACACACAACCTCATGGTTCTTGATAGTAGCGATATTCTGGAAGCAAATAGTATAATATACAGACTCGATGGAAAAATGGACACAAACGCAACTCACAAGTAGATCAGATCTGCTTGTGGCTTGATAAAGCTCATTGTGTGGGCGAAACGTTGTCAATGAAAGGTCTCACTATACTGTATTTGTCTTCCTTTTCTCAAACATTGTGTTCCAGGTTATCGCACAATGTTAGTCGGCTTATGCTAATTCTCTGGCTACATAACACACTCTGCGCTGACTGACCCACACGAATTGCTGAAGTCAGACATCTTCATTCCGCTTTATATTTTGGCAGGTGTTACGTTATATCTTTCTCTGTTGCTTTATTTCTAATGATCCGTCTTTTGATTATCGGTTCATTTATTCGCCTGAGCTTCGGATCCCCCCAACCATTTATTTAACTTCGTCTCCTCATTGTAAAAATATTCATCGACACAGTTCTTTAATATATAAAAAGCTATATATTATAAATGTAAGGCAAAAACGAAGTTAGAACAATAAAATAAGAATATGTGTGTGGATGGTTCAGAGGAGTGATGTAGGCTCAGTCCTCCGTCTGGACAGTCTTGACAGTCACGCTACCTTGCTGCACTTACCTGCTACCGAACAATGTCTCGCAGTTGGCATATGACCTACTTAACGTCCTCGTCTCCCCGTCATAGTGAGTTAGTTCCCCACAGGTAACCCAAGAAGTTAGAGTTAAATCTAGACGTCCCTCCCACTACTGTTTGTGAGTTCGTTTTGAATGTTTTCGCTACGGTGTTTTGACTTATTCTTTGTAGTGAGCTGGACCGGTTATCCTTCAGACCTCATTCACCATTTCTCCGTATTTTCATTATTATATTCCCTGGCTATATCACCATACATTATGGGATCATAAAGTACCTTGTGGAATGGAATTCAATAAGAATTGACCTTACTGAGTCCGTAGCGCCTGACTTCGACAACTCTTCCAGTACCAGTCGACTCTGAAGAATCAGTAACACTACCGTGACTGCAACAACTCTCCCAGTACCAGTCGACTCTGAAGAATCAGTAACACTACCGTGACTGCAACAACTCTCCCAGTACCAGTCGACTCTGAAGAATCAGTCACACTACCGTGACTGCAACAACTCACAACTAATCTCCTAGCCCTTGGGTCTTAGTATTTCCTTACGTCTTCTGGACTTCCAGCCTTTCCCCTACCTTCTCTGAGTTCTTAGCCTCTCCTTACCCACAATTTGGAGAAAATACTGTAAATCACATTTTGTCCAGGTCCAAGACATCATGTACAGTTTCCTTTACAAATTCTGGGTCAGTTGTAAGTCGCCACTCACAGAATGTTTGATATGCTAAATGATCGTCCCTGAAGGAAAGGGAAAGGGGAGGGAGGAGAAGTGAACTGGTGGCCGACCTTCACACATTCTTGAGCGGCAGTAATCATTCAGAGGCAGTATGATGTACATTCCACTACAATTGTGACTACTAAGACACGCGCTGCGTGCCTACAATGTTTGCCTTATGTAACTTGGGCAAGCTATATTCCTTTCTTCCTTCCTTCCTTCCAGAAAGAGAGAGAGAGAGAGAGAGAGAGAGAGAGAGAGAGAGAGAGAGAGAGAGAGAGAGAGAGATAGATAGATAGATAGATAGATAGATAGATAGATAGATAGATAGATAGATAGATAGATGAGAGAGAGAGAGAGAGAGAGGTTATTTGAAACGATCAGGCTATTCTTCCCAAAGACTCCAAGAGAGTATACAAGTAAACTCACCCTGTCATCAGATGCTTGACTGGAGAACTCCTTGCTGACCTACCCAACCTGCCTGTCTCTGACATCTGCTGCAGTACCAGCGAGCCAAAGGACATGCGGGTGCCCGCCCCGTCTCTGAGATCTTCGCCAAGATCTCCGTCAGGAGCAGAGACCTCCGTACTCCCTTCGTCTGGCTTTTGGCTATTATTCTCATTGTCTTCAGCGACTGAGAGGGGCTGTTGCTCCTCGGTCCTGTCTGGCGAGTAAATGGAAGAGTCGTCTTCTGTAACAGGGTTTCCTGTTGGGGACATGTTAGAGGCTCGTTCGTGCTCGCTATACAAGGTGGACGCCGACTGTCTGGAGTCAACTCTTCTGGAAGAAGATGAGGATTTCATAGATTGCCTCATAGCCTTGTCTTTGGTAGCTAAAGATATGTTTGGATCTTTCATCTTCCTGTCTCTGAAGTTCTTCTATGATGGCATCCAGACACCTGAAAAAGAAAGCAAGACAAATTACTTATTCATTTATATGAAGATAAATTTATATTGAGATCTGAGGAGCTGAACTGATTATGTAAAACGTTTACCGTTTCAAACAAAAAATTACTGGGGAAAATTTACTTAGGCCTAGACTTTATAATAAATAAAAAGCGAAGAATATTATTTATATTTCGGGTGATTGAGATGTCAGTGGAACCATGTTAAATGTCGCACACACACACACACACACACACACACACACACACACACACACACACACACACACACACACACACACACACACACACTGGAGGGTCACAAAGGTGTGTTAGTGTATATATAAATGGTTAAAAATCCTTTCCCAAATTTATTAATGAACCACAACATGTCGCGTCCCTTTGATCCTCTAAATAATTAGACTAATTACCGCTGGTCAATGGAGCTACACAGTTATTAAGTAAATTTGTGACTATCGTCAATGTGACCTGACCTGTGACCTGATCCCTCGTTAAGTGTTCCAGTCTTGTGACCTGAACCTAGTTAAATGTTCCAGCCTTGTGATCTGACCTTCGTTAAGTGTTCTAACCCAGTGACCTGACCCTCGTTAAGTGCTCCAACCTATTGACCTGACCCTCGTTAAGTGTTCCAGGCACAGTTCTCTATTGCAGCATTTGTTATGGCCTATTTCCCTCAAGTATGGGTTAGGCCATCTTGAGAGACGGTAATTTCCAGGTTATAGCAACTCAAGTTCTGCTGGAACGAGTTCCCTGAGGCTGTCGCAGCTGCTGTCCCCTTCATGGGATAAATAAGACCATCCTTGCGCAGGAATCTCCCATCTCAGGTCGACACATTTCAACACTGTGTATAAAACCCATCCTATGTGATGAAATGTCATATAGAATAGGGCACAAGCACACGGCTGATGTGTCCAATTTTTGCTGAAAGAAAAAACTCACGAGGGCGTCGGAAGAACAGGGCGGAACTGATGGCGGAATTCTATTATTTTAAATTAATGACTGACTGACACGACGTCTTATATCTGACTTTCGTCCGACAAGTCTTTTGTCTGCCTGAGAAATATGATAGGACCTGTGTGTAATTATCAGAGAGAGAGAGAGAGAGAGAGAGAGAGAGAGAGAGAGAGAGAGAGAGAGAGAGAGAGAGAGAGAGAGAGAGAGAGACAGACAGACTGACAGACAGAAAGAGAGACAGGCAGACATGGAAGGCTAATTAAACATACCCAAGCACCTGCTTCAGTCTGCCGGCTGTCTTGTCTGCAGTTCATCGCAGTAGTGGTTGTCGCTCTTCCAATCCATTTACACTCGCCACCAATTCAAGCCGAAGACGCCAGCTTATTACTCGCGAGGTGTCAGGCTTCCGCTGGCTATATTGGTTCTGGTGCAATCTTGGAACGATAGCCTTGTTTTTAGGATATCTTGGGGAGAAACACTTATTTTAGGATATCGTTGGATTGTATATCCTTTTTTCCTGACAAAGTGGAACGATAGACTGCGATAACCTTCTTCCGCTGCTATTTTGCACTCTATTGCAATTCTGAGTTCAGGTTCATTCACTGGGATAATCCTTGATCGATATTCGCTGTTTGGGATAATTTTGGATAGATATCGGTTATCCCCGAACTTGCTTCCGGTCATTCGGGTGCCACATTGATCTTGGATAACGAAATGAAACCGACTGGGTTCGTTAAGCTGGAGCCATTAGATCTGCGTTCGTTAATGAGGGATGTGCGTTCATTAATGAGAGATGTGCGTTCGTTAATTAGAGATGTGTGTTTGTTACTGAGGATTGTCATTAAGAAATGCGTGTTCGTTAAAGAAGGATTCGTGTTCGTTACCATCGAGTAATTAAGGTCAGCAGGGGCAGCAGGTGAGAGCCATCTGGACGATCATTCACAGAGTCGTTAAACACTTCAGTTAATTACTTTGGGACGTAATATAATTTACATTACTGATATAATTAACCTATTAATTACATCACTTACATTAATGCAATTGATATAATCAAATCAACGCAGATTACACTGTAACGTGCACTGCCTGCGCCTTCGCATGCAAGTTCTGAGAAGAGAAATTCTGCGTAATCCATAGGGGTTTAGCGCTTGCCTGTTTTGGAAATTATAATAATCGGAGAAGACAAAATTTCCAGTCGGAACTCACGAAGCATAGGCCTCCCAATTACTTAATATAGCTACTGAATTAGGGCTATTTAGGCCTTTTTAAAGGAGTGTTAAAGGCCTATTGAAGACTTAATAAAGGCATTAAAAACCTAGTAAAGCGCTATTAAATAACTATTAAAGGCCTATGAAAGGCCTATTAAAGACCTTTTAAATGCCTTTTAATAAAAATAAATTGTATACATCCGAAGCAATTATCTGGAATCCATAAGATGCCTTAAAGACCCATTTAAAACCCATTAAAACCCATTAAAACCAATTTTAAACCCATTCAAGAAGTATTAGAGAAGCCTTTTAAAGCCTATTAAATATTTATAAAAACTCATTTAAAACCCATTAATTACCGAATGAAGGACCATTTATAGCCACTTAAAGAACTATTAAATAACATTTAAAACCCATTAAAAACTTATTAAAGGCCAGTAAAGACATTAAAGTGTAATTTTGCAGTCTACGGGGAGTCTACAGCCAGTCTACGGGGAGTCTACAGCCAGTCTACGGGGAGTCTACAGCCAGTCTACGGGGAGTCTACAGCCAGTCTACGGGGAGTCTACAGCCAGTCTACGGGGAGTCTACAGCCAGTCTACGGGAGTCTACAGCCAGTCTACGGGGAGTCTACAGCCAGTCTACGGGGAGTCTACAGCCAGTCTACGGAGAGTCTACAGCCAGTCTACTAACAGCCTAGTTTCCATTACCCCATTTATGTGGACGCTAAACCAGTATGTAGAATCACTGGACCCTCCGTCCCGAGACTACCCAACAACACTGTTCTCCACTCTCCCTAGAGTTATTCCTGTTATTTTGATTCTGTTTACCAGTAAACTGCTTTCAGTGGAGAAATTTACACATGCTGAGGCCTATTTTGTTATAAAATACGTATAAAAGAGCGCATGCGCAAATAACAAGTGGATTTTGTATAGTAATATGTTGGTGGATGAATGGTTCAGAGAACCGACATGTTGATAAATTAGACACATGGGCAACTCTTGGGTATCTTTATTAACGTGTCGGTTCTCTGAACCATTCATCTACAATCCTGTCAGTCACTGCAACTTCTTGGGATCTTAATACTTGGGAATTCTTCGCTTGCCTAATTCTTGGGCACGACCTACTTCCACATTAGACAAATGTGACACCACCTACGACTGCTTCACCTCACCTGTCTACGGTTTATAAGCTGCTTCTCCGCACGTATGCCGTATTCTATTCAAGATTGATGGACTGACCACATCGACTCATGGATGAGGGACTGATTACCTCATTCTCCTCCTGTTCTTCAAGATTCTCCTTTGTATGGACTGATGAAGCCACTGTGTGGCGAAACGTTTCCTCAATAAAGATACCCAAGAGTTGCACATGTGTCTAATTTATCAATAGTAGTATGTCACTGATGTCAGCTATGGTCTGTATACCTTGTACATGTACTGGTAGATATAAAGATTATTATTATTATTATTATTATTATAATTACTAGTACTTGGCACTACTACTACTACTACTATTACTACTACTACTACTACTACTACTGCTACTACTGTTCGCCAGCCTGGCCATCACTCTGTTCGCCAGCCTGGTTATCAGTCTGTTCGCCAGCCTGGCCATCACTCTGTTCGCCAGCCTGGTTATCAGTCTGTTCGCCAGCCTGGCCATCAGTCTGTTCGCCAGCCTGGCCATAACCCTGTTTTCCAGCCTGGCCATCACTCTTCGCCAGACAGATGTGGCCAAATTCTTTGGTGCGTATCTGACCAATCGACTACACAACCTCTCTCTCCTGTTCTTCTCTATTCAGCCTTCTTGCCTTTCCCACCTCTTCTTTATCTCCTTTCACTGTTTACCTGCATTCCTCATCTTATTCCACCTTCTCTTTCCCCACTCCATTAAATTACTCCTTTCCTATCCCTCCATTACCCACGTCCCTTACTCTATCTTCCCCTTTTCATTCACTTTGTTACATTATCCTTTATTCCTCGTCTCCCCACAACCTGGGCGTCTTAGAGCTGAAAGGCGTAATTACACGTAAAGGTAACTTTAATTACACGTGCTTACCTTCCAAAACGCCACCGTTTAACACTGTGTTATGAAGGGAAGTAACGGGGGAGTATGTCTTAAGCAGAAAAAGTGTGTGTTTTTGGGGTGGCGTGTGTGTGTGTGTGTGTGTGTGTGTGTGTCTTTAAGAACGCATATTCTTCACGTTCAAGAGCATGACTATCTTCTCAGTACCCTTCACTGCATGATTATCTCAGTACCCTTCACTGCAGGACTATCTCAGTACCCTTCACTGCAGGACTATCTCAGTACCCTTCACTACAGGACTATCTCAGTACCCTTCACTGCAGGACTATCTCAGTACCCTTCACTGCAGGACTATCTCAGTACCCTTCACTGCAGGACTATCTCAGTACCCTTCACTGCAGGACTATCTCAGTACCTCTCACTAACATCTGACACTGTCACTACTGCAGCTCCATTTGCCCCAAGAAAATAATACCATTATCAATAATAAAAGCATTACAAAAAGCAGATCTGTCCTTTCTAGGGTTGTACTTCACTAGTAATGTTCTTCACAGGCACTTAATCACCGAGAAATAAACATCTTAGGTAGGAAGAGGACGGAGGATCGAGTCTCCACTATTCTTAGAGCTGAGTGACCTATACGAGTTTACGCTTGACATGAAAAATGAGAAATAAGTAAATGGAGTAAAGGTTATTTTTCCTCCATTGTATTTGTTGTATTTATAAGATTTTCCAATAGGTGGCAGAGATGCGGAATTTTTATCTTTACTGAGGTGAAAGTCACACCACCTTGGCTCGTCTTAA